ACCAGCCGCGAGCAGCCCTCGGGGCTCCCTGACGCAGGCTGGGGTGTGTTTCTGGCTGGAAATGCTCATGTGTCGTCTCCTTTTGTGTCCTTCAGGAAACTTTATAATTATATGGGATTAATTTTACAGGTCACATGCACGGACACCTAATTACTTTACACCCTATTGCCAGGAGCCCGGTGGGATTTTCCCCTTGTTTGTCTAAGCTATGACACAGAAAGTTATGAATTTCTCTGTCTTGGTTTTTATCTTATCCTGCTCTTATTGTTTGTTTTTTTAAGATTGATTTATTTATTTATGCACACAGAACTGGGGTACAGGACAGCGGCGCAGGGGTGGTGAGATGATTCTCCAGAGACGGAGGGGAGAGCAGAGCAGGTAGATTGAAGTACACTGCTGAGGGGGGCAGTGGGTGGGACAGGAGGGGTCTGCTGCGCCCTGTGGGTCACCCCTGGGCCAGGGACTGAACTGGTGCTGGAGCAGCGGCAGTTAGCTTCACAGTGCTGTGCTTTAACCCGCTGCACCGGGGCCTCCCTGTGGCGCATGGGGTTAAAGCACAGCACCATGAAGCCATCACAGCTGCCACTGCACTAGTTTGATCCCCGGCCAAGGAGGTGACCCACAAGGTGTGACAGACCTCTCCTAACCCGCCGCTGCTCCCCAACAGTTCTCCTGTTCTGCTCCCCACTCTGTGTCTGGTGAATCCTCACATCCCCCCCACTTCTGGCCTGTACCCCAGTTCTGTATGTATAAATAAATAAATATATATGTGTGTGTGTGTGTAACCCGTTGCACCCCCAGGGCGGCCTCCTGCCTTTACTGTCTTCTAAAAGCTTCTTAGCTGATCTGTAGACTCAAGTTGGTCAACTGCAAATACAATTTTCTTTCTGATCCTTGAGCCTTTTCTTCTTGCTGTGTCGCACGGGGCAGCCTTGCTAGAAAAATGCTGACTCCCCTCGCAGCATTTCAATCCTGCGGTCCCCTCGCCCAGGGTGGTGGCCCGGCTGCCCAGGGGCAGAGTGCTGCCGTGGCTGCCCCCGGTGGCCAGCATCTGTCCCGCCAGCCGGCTCCTCCCCTCTGCTCCCTGGACCCTACGCCCGCCGGCAGCTGGTCCTGTCTCTGCGGTGCAGTGCCATGCCCGCCCGCGCACATCAGAGAGGCCAGAGAGCAGGGCCCGCAGCGGACCCCGAAGGGGCTGTGACCCGCGGCGGGCCAGTGACTGACCACAGCGGGCCTCGTCGGAGCCGTCAGCGCAGTCCACTCTGTCGTCGCACTCCGGGTTCTCCTTGGTCACACACTGGCTGTTGCGGCAGGAGAAGGCGCTCTCCGGACAGCGACCTGAGGATGGAGCGCCGAGTGGGAGCCCACGCCCCTCTCCCGCTGCCCGCCCAGCGAGACCCACTGTCCCTGCAGGGTCGCCGGAGCGGAGAGCAGCGAGCGCCTGCTCCCGTCTCTGACTACCGCGGAGATGATTTTCCCCTGTTAGTGCAGAGATGCCGCCGGGCGTCTATTGGCACCGAGACCAGCCCGTGCCATGGGAGAGAGAGCGAGTGTGTCCGGCGGGCACGGTGTGGACATCAGACCGCTGGGCGCGTCTGCCGATGCCTGATACGTGCTCACATAGCGCCTGGCTACAGGTCCAGAATCCCAGAAGTTGCATTTAAAGCCAGTAAGGGCCTCCCTGGTGGCAGTGGGCAGCACCGTGAGGCGGCCGCAGCCGCTGCAGCGCGAGTCCGGTCCCGGCAGGGGAGTGACCGCCGGGGCAGCAGACCCCTCCTGTCTCCCCGCGGCTCCCCTCAGCAGTGTGCTTCGTCCATCTGCCTGTTCTGCTCCCCGCTCTGTCTGGTGGATCCGCTCACAGCACCTGACTCTCTGGCCTGTACCCCAGTTCTGTATGCTAAATAAATCAGTAAGTAAATAAACAAATAAAATAAAAACAGAAAACGGGTGTAGCTGGGTTTCTGAAAGTGAGGTAAAATCATCTTCGGGGCTCGGCTCGGCGGCCTCAAGCGCCCACGCGCAGCCCTCCAGCTCTGGAAGGTTCTCTGCTGCCCCACCGGAGCCGGCCCGTTGGACACTGGCTCCCTCCCTGCCCGGGCACCACCCTCTGTGTCTCTGTGGCTCCTGCAGGGCCTGGGCACAGCTCACGCTGCGTCTGCCCTGGTGGCTGACTCCACGGGGCGTCAGGGCAGGCCCCCAGGGGGACGTGCGTGAGCGTGGCCTTCACGCTCAAGGCTGAGGAGGTGTCCATGGTCTGGCCGGGCCACATTTCATTTTCCCCTAAGATTTATTTATTTATGCATACAGAACTGGGGTGCAATCCAGAGATGCAGGGGGTGAGAGGAGTCATGAGAGACAGAGTGGGGAGCAGAACAGGCAGGTGGACGAAGTGCACTGCTGAGGGGAGCAGCGGGGAGACAGGAGGGGTCTGCTGTGCCCCGGGGGTCACCCCCTGGCCGGGATGGGACTCGCGCTGCAGCGCCTCGGCAGGCTCCCAGTGCTGCGCCCTGACCCCTGCGCCTCGAGGAGGGCCGGGCCACACCTGTTCATCTCACACTCATTTGTAATAACATCTCTTCACTTAGCCCAGCCCTGAAGTGCTGCTATTTCAGGTGCCGCCGGCGTCGACAATGACCAGGGCGACTCCTCAGTCTTCCTGGGAGGGTGTCGTGTCACCTGTGGGGGTGAGTCTGCTGCCCTCACACCCCGGGTGCGCTTTGACGCTCAAAGTCACAGGCGTGGGGCGCCCACCGCCCGCTTCCCTGGGGTGAGGGGCTTCTGGGGTGTGAAACGTGCAGCTAAAGCCAGGCAGCTGGGCAGCAGGAGCCAGCGACCGCCCGCTCACCTGTACTAGCTGCTTTTCACTTTCTGATGACCTGACACCAGGGGTCCTGCTGAGCCCAAAGGGGAGACCCCCCGGGTGTCAGTTCCCACAGATGATGGACCTGTCATCGGGGCACACATGCAAACCTCTGGCAACCAGGGCCGCCCCACTTCCCTCCAGTGGGGGCCCTCAGACTCGGGGCTACTAGCCCGTCTCCACCACCACAGGGCCAGGTGGGTGCCAGGGAACCAGGGAGCCCCGTGCACCCTGAAGCCCCTGGAGTCTTCCACCGCCAGCCCTGGCTGCTCCCCCAGGCCCCGCCAAGCCCCTCAACCGCCCCTGCCCCCGCTGACCTGATGACACTCCTGTCCCCAGCCCGCCCACCCAGGCCCCCGCGCCAGCTGCTGGGTGGCTCATTCCTCCACAGCAGATGTGTGCCCTCTCCGGGGCAAAAGCAACAACGCCATACGTTCTCTGAGCAGAGCTTGGCCACACTGACTGCACGTCCCGTCGTTTTTGCTTGTTTTTCTTTTCTTTCCTGATTTTAAATTCTGTTTTCTTTTTGCATTTTAAACGCCTCATCTCCGAGCTCTCTGCCCGGTGGGCAGCTCGTTCCTGCCGCTGGGGTCTCTCTGACGATGGTCAGGCCACCCCCAGAACCCCTCAGCCTCACAGCAGCCAGAGAACAGCCGGCACAGGGGCTCTGGGGACAGAGCAAACATACCTGATTTGAAGTCTCTCTCTGTCCACGGCCCCTTCTGGCTTCCTGTGAGGAAAGGGGGAGACACAATCTCATTCGAGCACAGAAGCTGCTTGAGAACTGCCTCACAGAGCGGCCTGGCCACAGGAATTCCACGCTCGGCCCCTCAGACGGAATCAAACGAAATCTGCTCCTGGCCACAAGTCGCGTGCCCGACGGCCAGTAGGGGCCAGCGGCTACCACGCTGGAAGGTGAGACAGGACGCGTTTCCACCGCGTAGGAGGCCGCTGGTGCCCGTGGGTCACCAGGGCGCCGTTGGGGCCAGAGCTGGCAGGGTGGACGGCAGGGGTGCGGTGGCCGGGTGGGGCCTCGGGTCACAGCGCTGCACCCCAGAGGCCACGGCTTCGTTTTATCTCCTATTTCTACCCGAGGGGTCAGGGGAGGGGGGGAGTCACAGGCGGGTCACGGGCTCAGCCCCAATTGGCCATGGCTCGCTTCTACAGGTGCCAAGAGCAGGTCTGGGTAGTGGTCAGAGGCCAGAGGGCACCAGGGCAGCAGCCCCAGCCCAGCCCTCTGGGGGAGGCCCTTGGCCCCCAGCTCTGTGCCGGGGGGCTGCAGCGTAAGCACGGAGGCCACTGAAAAGTTAGGGGCTCTGTCCCATCCCAGGCCCTTCCGTCGTCACCTGCTCACCTCTGAGCTCCGCAGACAGGATGGTGCCGTAGGCGGCCAGCGCCAGGCCGGGCCCCCGCAGCCGAGCCCGGAGCCCCTCCTGCAGCAGCCTCTCCTCCTCCAGGCCCGGCCGGGGGCCCCACAGCCCGGGGAACAGAAAGTGCAGCCGGAAGCGCACCAGGACGCTGGCGTTGCCCGCCCTGTGGGGGAGGAAGCCTTGCAGGGGCTCCTCTCCGCGGACTCTGCCTGGACCGTCCACCGAGGCCCCGTCACCCCGAAGGCACCCCCCACCTCACCTGTAACTGAGCACCGTGCAGCTCACGCAGCTGGCCTCCAGCTCTGTCTTCCAAAAGCTGCTTAAAAACTGCAACGGGAGACCCCGGCCAGTGCTGAGACGCGGCGAGGGTGGACACCGTCCCCTCCGGCTCGGGCCCGCCTGGGCAGCCCCCTGCGCCCCTCTGCTCCTCACAGGGCACAGGGCTCCTTCAGGCCAAGCCACTGGCCACCCACTCGGTCCCTGTCACCCCCGCCCCCAAGGGCACTGCCACCTCACCAGGGCCTCCAGGGCAGGCGTCAGTGTGCGGCGATACTCGGAGGCCTCCTCCTGCAAGCTGTGGGCGTAGCGGATGCCCAGCAGCTCCGCCGTGTGCTCCACGTCCACGCCCCGGGCAGACAAGGAGGCTGTGGGCCAGAC